CCGGGAATGCTGGGAATGCTGGGAATTCCGGGAATGCTGGGAATTCTGGGAATGCTGGGAATGCTGGGAATGGGAATGCTGGGAATGCTGGGAATGCTTGGAATGGGAATGCTGGGAATCCCGGGAATGCTGGGAATGCAGGGAATGGGAATCCCGGGAATTCCGGGAATGCCGGGAATGCCGGGAAAGCTGGGAATGCTGGGAATGGGAATGCTGGGAATGGGAATCCCGGGAATTCTGGGATTTGGGAATGGTGGGATTCAGGAATTCTGGGAATTCTGGGAATTCTGGGAATGCTGGGAATGCTGGGAATGCTGGGAATGCTGGGAATGCCGGGAATTCCGGGAATGCTGGGAATGCTGGGAATGCCGGGAATGCCGGGAATGCTGGGAATGCCGGGAATGGGAATCCCGGGAATGCTGGGAATGCTGGGAATGCTGGGAATGCTGGGAATGCCGGGAATGCTGGGAATGGGAATCCCGGGAATTCTGGCATTTGGGAATGGTGGGATTCAGGAATTCTGGGAATTCTGGGAATGCTGGGAATGCTGGGAATGCTGGGAATGCTGGGAATGCCGGGAATTCCGGGAATGCTGGGAATGCTGGGAATGCCGGGAATGCCGGGAATGCTGGGAATGCCGGGAATGGGAATCCCGGGAATGCCGGGAATGCTGGGAATGCTGGGAATGCTGGGAATGCCGGGAATGCTGGGAATGGGAATCCCGGGAATTCTGGCATTTGGGAATGGTGGGATTCAGGAATTCTGGGAATTCTGGGAATGCTGGGAATGCTGGGAATGCTGGGAATGCTGGGAATGGGAATCCTGTGAATTCTGGGAAATCCCAGAATTCCGGGAATGCCGGGAATGCCGGGAATGCTGGGAATGCTGGGAATGGGAATGCCGGGAATTCTGGGATTTGGGAATGCTGGGAGTGGGAATTCTGGGATTTGGGAATTCCAGGATTTGGGAATGGCGGGAATGGGAATTCCTGGGATTTGGGAATGGTGGGAATGGGAATTCCAGGAATGGGAATTCCAGGATTTGGGAATTCCAGGATTTGGGAATTCCGGGATTTGGGAATGCTGGGATTTGGGAATGGTGGGAATGGGAATACTGGGATTTGGGAATTCTGGGAGTGGGAATAGTGGGAATGGGAATTCCGGGATTTGGGAATGGTGGGAATGGGAATACTGGGATTCGTGGGATTCAGGAATTCCCGGATTTTGGAATGGCCAGAGTGAGAATTCCCAGATTTCAGAATTCCGGGATTTGGGAATGGTGGGAATGGGAATTCCGGGAATGGGAATTGCAGGATTTGGGAATTCCTGGATTTGGGAATGCTGGGAGAGGGAATTCTGGGATTCAGGAATTTTGGGAATGGGAACGGTGGGAATGAGAATTCCTGGATTTGGGAATTCCTGGGATTTGGGAATGGTGGGAGAGGGAATTTTGGGATTCGGGAATTCCAGGAATGGGAATTGTGGGATTTGGGAATTCCTGGATTTGGGAATGGTGGGAATGGGAATTCCGGGATTTGGGAATTCCTGGATTTTGGAATTCCCAGATTTGGGAATGCTGGAATTTGGGAATTCCGGGATTTGGGAATGCTGGGATTCAGGAATTCCCAGATTTGGGAATTGTGGAATTTGGGAATTCCGGGATTTGGGAATGCTGGGATTCAGGAATCCCGGGATTTGGGAATGCTGGAATTTGGGAATTCCGGGATTTGGGAATGCTGGGATTCAGGAATTCCCGGATTTTGGAATGGCCAGAGTGAGAATTCCCAGATTTGGGAATTCCTGGGATTTGGGAATGGTGGGAGCGGGAATTCCGGGATTTGGGAATTCCTGGATTTTGGAATTCCCAGATTTGGGAATGCTGGGAATGGGAATTCCGGGATTTGGGAATTCCAGGAATGGGAATTCCTGGGATTTGGGAATGCTGGAATTTGGGAATTCCGGGATTTGGGAATGCTGGGAATGGGAATTCCAGGATTTGAGAATGCTGGGAATGGGAATTGCAGGATTTGGGAATGTTGGGATTCAGGAATTCTGGGATTTGGGAATGTTGGGATTCAGGAATTCCGGGATTCGGGAATTGGGGATATTTGGATCAGGTTATTTGGAACAGCATTGGGAATTTTGGGAATGCAATCCCTCAGGATTGGGAATTTTAACCCTAAACCCCCCCTGGATTCGGGAATTCCCGGAATTCCTCCTCCTCCCCATCCCCCGTTCCCATTCCCCTTGGAATTCCGGGATTTTCCCGCTCTTTTCCCGCATTTTTCCAGGTGCGTTTGGCCGTGCTGGAAGCCCTGGGCCCCATGAGCTCCTTAATTCCCGAGGAAAAGCTGGAAGAGCAACTCCCAAAAATCCTGCCGGGAATTCTCGGCCTCTACAAGAAACACCCGGAGCCTTTTCCCATCTCCAAGGTTTGGGAATTCTTTCCCAAATTTTGGGGCTTTGCCGGGATTTTTCCTGGATTTTTCTTGGAATTTTCAGTGATTTTTAAAGGAATTTTTGGGGATTTAGTTTAGGTTTTTCCTGGATTTTTCTTGGAATTTTCTGGGATTTTTCCTGGATTTTCCCAGATTTTTCTTGGATTTTTTAGGGAATTTTTGTGGGATTTATCCTGGATTTTTCCTGGATTTTTCTGGGATTTTTCCAGGATTTTTCCCAGATTTTTTCCTGTATTTTCCATGATTTTTCCTGGGTTTTTATGGGAATTTTCAGGGATTTATCCTGGACTTTTCTGGGATTTTTCCAGGATTTTTCCTGGGTTTTCCCGAATTTTTGGGGGAATTTTTTTGGATTTATCCTGGATTTTTCTGGGATTTTTCCAGGATTTTTCCCAGATTTTTTCCTGTATTTTCCATGATTTTTCCTGGGTTTTTAAGGGAATTTTCAGGGATTTATCCTGGACTTTTCCGGAATTTTCTGGGATTTTTCCAGGCTTTTTCCTGGATTTTCCCAGATTTTTCCTGAGTTTTTCAGGGAATTTTTGAGGATTTTTCCTGATTTTTTCCTGGATTTTCCATGAATTTTCCCCAGAATTTTCCAGAATTTTCCCAGGATTTTTCCAAGATTTTTCCAGGATTTTTCCAGGATTTTTCCCCATATTCATATCCCATCAAAAAACTGGAAAACCTCATCCCAAAAACCCAATAAATCAGGGATTGAAAGGATCCAAATCGGGATCCAGGAGGGAAATTCAGGATTTGATCCCAGAAAAAAACGGGAACAACCTCAAATTGGGATTTTTGGGAATTTTCCCTCTGGAATTGCCAGAATTCCCTTTTTATTCGGGATTTTT